TATACCTATCCATATATGTGTATGTGTGTGTGTAATATTTGCATACTGGATGCGATGGAACAGTCACAGCGAAGCTTTCAACCACTTATACCACTTATCCGAGACCAGACACTCCTTTCCTCGCCCGATCAGCGAACTCATCTACGGTATACTCTCCACGACCACTCTTTAACTTTTTGACCACCGTCCGTGCTTGTTAGAACTCTGACGGTTTGACCACTGGTCGACGTGCTTAAGTCACAATACTAGTGCTAGTCATTGTATAAGTGCGCACGAGAAAGTTCGATCAAACGTAAGAAAAGACTTACTACCCCCATTTGAGTACCTATATTATATTTTATTCGGTCAAAGTCGCTAGTCGGCTATACTATTGTTATTTTTTTTTATCGTCTATTTTATAAAAATAACCTGCAACCGTGCATACATAATAGTATAATACAATTAAATCAACACAATTTACTACACACTGCCTATTGGCCCTTTAGACTTAACCCATCGATCTTAATGCGTTTGAGGCGATTTGACTACCTGCTAACTAATCGATATCATAAACAATACCTGCCTATATACCTCACGTAATACACATTACCATATATTTACCAAAAAACTACCGTAGATTAATACATGTATATTATTATCTCTGAATGCTTATTTGTTTTGCCACTGTACTGCAGTTTGTAGTTTTGTGATGGTTTTTTATTTTAAAACTAATGTGATTTTTGTCATAATTTATTGATACCATTAAACAAATTGTTGGTACTATGCGTACAGAAAACAGTCAAAACACGGCTGTTATGAATGGGTGCCACGTGTGCAAAAGGTCGATATTATGATGACCAAAAATGCACTTTTGATAAACTGCACAAATACTAAATGCACATATTGCAACAACTGCAGCCTGATTAATTTGACTCAATTACATGTTCGAATTTCAAACATAAAAAATTATAAAGTTCAAAAACGTATTTTATAAAAAAATAAATTAAGGTTTCATTTTTTTTTTTTATCTACTTAAGCCATTATTGATGATCAAATCAACAATATCTACTATTTTTAAAGTGGAAAAATAATAATTTTGTAATTATAATTTTTTTTATTAAATTCATGTTTTCCATTTAAAAAGATATAACGATGAGCACAGAAAACTCAATACAAATATGCACCAGGCAGATAAGTTTTATCGAAATTCATTAATTATAAATATAATATGTGTGTATAATATATTATTAGGTACGAGTTCTTAAAGTACTGTATTACGATTGTCCAAAATGATATGTAGGTAGTTAGTAATAACTTATACAATGTATAAGCTGAAATTTGTAATCCATATAATTTGTATTCACATTTCCAACATTTATGTAATACAGCTAGTGATTAAGTTAAGGTTATATACTATTTAAACTTATTTATGACTATACTCATTGAAAATTAAGATAGTTTAATAATTGTTTAAACGCTTTAATTATAAAAATGCGGATTTGTTGAAACTTGAAATGGTTTCTGTAAACTGTAAAGTATACTGGGTCAAATTTCCAATCTATAAGCAAGTTATATGAAACTTTTAGAAAACTTTTAGAGTTCTAAAAAGTGTATTACGAAAAACATGACATCATATAAAAATTATTTCTTTGAAATTTTAAATTAAACTTGTACATTATAATCGTCGATGATCGTATACGATACGTAAATAAATAATGAATGAACAGTATTATTTTAGATATAGAATATATTATATATAATATGTTACCTATTTAGCCACATTTATTATTAGTTATTACGTAATTTTAATTTTAAACAAATCGTTTCTACAATTAGTTAAATAGAACTTTTAAAACATTTTATTCTTATACAGTTGTCAAAAATTAATCAAGGGATATTAATTATTGAACAGTGGGTGGATAAAGTAATTTGTATAATGGAAAAGCTCATAAAAATAAACTGTGCGATAAGTGGGTATAAAAAAAACAATGAATCAATATTAAATTTTTAAAATAAATAGTTTTTTTATCCGACCGATTGTATGGATTAAGGGACGAACTATAAATATTATATAATTTGAAACATTATAAATAATAAAGTGATGAATTTGAGTGTATTATCATAATAGTATTTCAGCGAAATACGAAATTGCAATTATAACATGTTATTTTAATATTTTAATAAATAAAAAAGTGGTCAATGGGTATCACTGTGCTGTACACTAGATATACGATGTTGGTCACTGGATGTGTTAAATTTGAATTCAATGAAATTATAATATTATTATTGTACCTAAACGAAAAACAATTCTGAGCGAAGATGGTCTGTCGGACTATTATATTACTTAATATTTTTTACGATACATGTGTATATTTAGGTATATTTCTATTGAAGTAATTTATTTTTTTTTTGTATTGGATAACCCGCGGCAACATAGGCCATTGGGTGTTAGTGGTTTATTTTTGTGTGTTGTTATTACGGTAGGGGGAGGAACACGTGTGTGTTGGGTTTTGGCAGAATTTTGAATGGGGCACCCTAAGGTTTCTGCCATGCCCCGGAGTGGGGGATGGCGGCACTTGTTCTCCGGACACCGTGACTTGCCCGGAGAAAAATACCGCACAGTGGTCGAGAGGATCGAACCCGCGACCGCCAGCGCCGCAGACGACGTGTCCGACCGCTCGGCCACCTCGTCCCCCTAATTTATTTTGCTTATAGTATTATACAGTAATACAGTAGATTCAATTTATTTTTGGCGACAACATCACATTTGAAAATATCATTGTGTGTATAAACAAAAACAATAATATGTCGTGTTTATATTATTTTATATATACATATATATATATATAAATTAAATTAACTTACAGTAGGTAATACAGTATAATATATTAAAACGGCACTCCGTATTATTATTCGACGTTTCCACACTCGTTAACTTATAGTAGTTATTAAATATCTAAATCGATAATAATAGTAATAATATACATATCCCTAAATATGTATTATATTAATACCGTTTATTAAATAAACGTTGATATAATAAATAATAATTGCCTCATAAACCACTTAAGGCGGGTTTCCACTATACACGTTTGCCGTGTACACGAAAAATGTTCAGCAACACGGTATCATGGTTAACCGTGTGGTAACTGATCGTAAACAACCAATCACAGCAAATGATTTGTATGCACGTATTCGCATCCGTGTATAGTGGAAACCCGCCTTTAAGCAATTACTTACGTTATTGGATCAATCATAGAGTAATATTACACTATGGGATGAACATCAACAAAAACAATAAAGGCGCATTCACAGCTAGGTCGTGTGGCGTGTCGTACTAGGGCTTGGTTATTATATGGTTACGACTGGTAACCAATATGGTTTAAAAGTTGACCATTAGTCAATTCTTGGTATACTCGGTTGTACCTTGGTTATTACATGATACCAAAAAAGTAATATCCAATCACAATACGATTTGATCGGCACGACACGACAGCTGCTGTGAATCCGGCTTAATAATTAATTATTAATTAGAGGGACCATTTTAAGAAAAATAAAATTATTTATCATATTTGGTTGGTACCACTTTCAATTTTAAATCGTCAGCATAATAATTTCGTTACAAATTGTTCGGTGTTGACGTGTTGTAACCTCCGTAAAGATGTTTTACTTCAATAAAAAATAAGACACATCATTGTAAAATCAAGACATTCATTGCTCTGTCAGAATCTAAAATTAAAATTAAAAAAATTAATCTTTCGTTCAATAATAATCTAGTAATATAATACTTCTAATTTAGTACGTACTATGAATATAATATGGTTGTTTAATAAGTTATTTCAAATTCAAAATTGTAAGCAATATGTAGAAACAGTTTAATGTCCTTAGGTTTTTGGATTATGTTGGCATCGTCATAATGGAATTTTAAAAACATTTTTTATTTTGCACTCGAAAGAACAATACATTATTACCAACTATCGATAACTAAATAAAAATATAGATAATATATTGGATGAATGGCGAGGGCTTAAGGTACCGGTTAAGGATAAACGGGAAATACTCAAAACATATTATAAGTCACAAACAATATTGTGTCGATCTAATTAACTATAAATGTATGCATGTACACAAACTATTGATGGTCTCTGGATTTTTTTAAAAAAACCTGTATAAAATAAAAGTAACTATAGGTTTAACTAATTTATTAGGTATATATGATGAATCAATTGAAGTATGGCGACGATGAACAAACACAATCGATGCTTTCGAATATTTTCAACGATGAATCAGCATATTATTGAATGAAAATATTACAAAACCTATAGGTATACTTCCGGGTTCTTACTTTTCTATGTGATCAAAACGTGTACTATGTTTCCCTTGAATGTATAACATACTAATATGCGAATGATTTCGGAAAGAGAAAACTACCTCCTATCTATGTAAGTCTTCGCAGAGTGCTCAAATCGTTCTTCAATGCTCATCGTATATCAACGACAAAAGACTCTACATAAAAGATTATTGTATAGAAGAGCATCCAAAGTCATTTTGTCGGTCCTAATGGTCGGGCGCGATTTATTATAATAATACAATACAATGCATTGTACAATATTATTCAAAAGTCGTTTTGCGTCTAGAACTGAATTCATAAACGAACTGCACGCAGGCGGGCCGTGCGGGGTCTGAAGGGGGGGACGATGGTCGTGCGACGTCGGGAGTGTTCGGGGGTGGTTGCGAGGGGTCGTCGGCTAACGAAACACCGTGCGTAGGTACGCGGCCGCTGCAGGTAGATCGTCGACGGGTGTGTATTTAGTGCCGCGAGAGGAGTGACGACGGCATTCTTAGAGCTTTGTCTCACTCGTCCCTGCACACACCGACCCCGTGGCGAAGGGATGAGGTGTTGGGGTTGAGACACAGCAAACCGAAGGCGTACAATATACATATTATTATATAGGTATATAGCGGTGCCCGCTCGGCACGGGGCCCTTTGTATTATTCGAAAACAGCGACGATAGGTACCTCTATTTAAGCTCTCGCTGCAGCGGCGGGACGAACAACAGGACTTGCAGCCAGCAGCACCGGCACCGGCAATACCCGTCCAGCCAACCGAGCCCGATCCGATGCCAACCAGCCACAGAACAACCGTGCGGGGGAGGTGACGAGGGGCGAAGCAGAGAGGCGCAGGGCACGCAAGCTACGCTGGAAAGCGGTGGAGCGGGGAGAAAGAGCGAGACTCGACGGATAAATGTCTGTCTGCACAATATAACCTCATTAGCGTCCCTTGTAATCGGCTGACGAGCGCACGGCATTGTCTTTTGTTACGATTTGCCATTTCCTGATGAGTGTTAACCACCGTTCGGCGGAGGCTTATCGAAAAAAAAAAACCCCCCCATATACGCTCTGGGCCTGAGACTTTGGAAACACAAAAGACTTTCGCGATCCGTTCAACCGCGTACGATTCGACGCGTGTTTTTGATGTACACACACACACACACACACACACACACACACACTCACACGACATTATAATATACAATACATATTATAATATATATGTATGCGTGCAGTGTTGGTACGCTGAGACTTGTATAAGTACCTTACACGATATTATTATTAAATGATATTATACACACCGTATAGGTTAGGTAGGAAGATAGCGTAGGAACATCGAAAATACACAGGTATTATCTATATCATAATAATAATATACATTATACTTGGGTACCTACCTTACATATTATTATTATTTCAAAATATACGCTTTGTGTGCAGCCCGACTTTTTAACCGCCGCCGCGGCGTTCCCCTCGCGCAATCCGCCCGTCGCTTTCTAAAGTTGTATTCGCATTGTTATTTCCCGCCCTCTCCGCCGGGCTGCAGCACAACATTCGCGAACTGCAAACGAGCAGCTATATTAATATAATACAGCCAGGGCAGAGCTGCGCTGATGTTGCCGGGTATAATAATAATAATAATATTATGCACTAATGTGGGGGGCGGAATCCCACTAATGTCGAATAAGCCATCCGATATAGAGACGATTTACCGTCGTACGATACGTACCTATTATAATATTATAACTTATAAGTATATTAATAATAAAAATAATATAATATTCCTACTACGTGTATTTGTATTTACCGGCCCGCGAAGTTTTCTACGGATTGTTAGGTATATGTTTATATACAATATTCACCGTGAATATATCCACGTCCGAATAGAAAGCGTGAAGCGGAAGGTTGAAATATAATTAATTCTTGCTCCGTGCTGATGTAGTTTTTGCCTAAGCGCAGTTGTTCAGGAATTAAAATATTATTGTGTTCAGTTATGGAATATACATATTATTATTATTGTATTTATCAGTGTAATGGCTGGAAATTAATCGACTTGATTGTTGCTGTTATTTTAAATCCTATATTTACGGTACCATAAGTGCATTTTTACACCTATACCTACGGTCAAAGCGTTTCCACTTACGACTTTTAATAGTATACATTGTAATTAATTGGGCGAAATATATTATTGAATAGTTTACTACGCGGAACGAAAATGTATTTAAAAAAAAAAAACATTTTATAAACATTTTTAATTTTATTTATTACTTACGTATTACAATACTATATTATGCAATATTTATTCAATTAGGTAAAGTTTATCAGAAGACAAGACAGAAAAATAACAAAACGTATAATTGTATCACGATATTAAAATCGTATAATTTTTTTTATATTTTTGTTATACATTTATTTTTACAATTAATTAATAATTATCCAATTGTCTATTGATATTGGTATCTGCTGACCGTAAAAAACAGCTGAGAGCCTCGTGTTTGACATGCCTGGTCACAATATACAAGTACATAATAAAATATAGATAGCTAACAAATATAGTTAATGTTCGGTTGTCTAATTAAATTTAATATTATGTTAAAATTTACAAAACTAAAACACACCTGAGAGATGTTAATAAATAATGGCTGTTGTATGAAATATTCAAATATAGTAGATATATAATATTATACAAGATAAATAATAATAGTGAAAGTTTGTTTTTTGATTAAATTTAATTTCAACAAAACAACATATTATTATTTAATAGATCTCTTTTGGGAGTCAAAAATACCAAACAATTATATTCATATAAAACTGACAATGGTACCATGGCAACTAAATTCACGGATAAGATAATATGCGTATAAGGTATTCGTACTTATACGTCATAGTATTATACTATAGTATCTAACCCTAATCATTTCATACTGAGAATATTAATGGCTAATTTTTGTTTTTAAATAATATATTGAATCAACAACTTTCAGTTTTCTCTAATGTCCAATAGGTACTTCAAATTGTAATCCTATATACAATATACTTACTATAACTAATTTTAAATAATTAAATAACTTCCGACTATTATTTTGTAACTAGGTACTTAGTTTTAATTATATTTACCAATTAAAATCTGAAAACTCAAAGTTATAATTACATAGGTACTTTACATTGTATTGAATAATTAACGATAAGTGATGTATATCATCTAAGCATGAAATTTGCAGTAAAAATATTTATTTTTTCAAAATAGACAACTATTATAGCCATTCGCATGGATTCATGATAATGTTTTTTGCTTTGTTAAAGTTTAACATTTTGATTTTTAATAAATAATACGAACATTATACACTATAAACAATTGAATAGTATAATGTGTAAATGTATGATAAGTTATGTGATGGATTATATTTTAAAAAATATGGTAGGTACTTAGTTAAATACGTTCAGAAGTCAGAACTAATTGCCAATTGTATTATGATTCATAATACACGATAGGTACTTGGACCATAATATAAGATGAGCAGCTGTGTAGCACATAATACATCTTGTGCGGGGCAAAATATAATATTTAATAATATGTTTAATTCGTTTTCGTGTTACATACAGAATAGGTTTAGGCGCCTGCAATTACAGAAAATGACGATTATAAAAAGAGGATGGAGAATATAATATGATTGTGCTTTGATCGATTGTGCGATAACATACTTACAACGGGACTAAATGGAGCATGTCTTAGTGCGAATTCTAATAACAATAATGGTTTGTGTAAGACAAAGAGGAAAAAAATACTTCGCAAAACGTAACAGGACTTGTGCTGTCAGTTATTCCGTGATGTATTGCGGGCTATCGTGACGTGTCGTCCAACGATCCGTGAAACCATACTCACACAGTACCTACTCATTCCATCGCGGCATGTCGAACATTAAGGACACGAAGCTTTAATATCTCAACGGTCGAAATAAATGTTTCATGAAAACAACAACAAAAAACTATAATATGTCCAAGTACAAAAGGTGCATAGTGCATGTAAAAAAAACCGGAACTGCAATCATTATAATATTTTATTATTATTATTATTACCTACTAGAAGAAAACAATTATTGTCAGCCAATGGCCTAGTTTCTGGGGCTTATTTTAATGGTAAAAAATAAATGCACATTTTTACGAAAATATAATAATAGGTACCTACTTATGATAAAGCTAAATACCGAGAACGGTGAAAACGTGTAACTATTAATGATTGCATTGTTTCAATGAGAAAGGCGTTTGTCTATATAAACTATATTATAGACTACACATGTTTATTCGTATACATATTACATATAGAATAAGTTTTGTTATTAAAGTGAATACTTCATAGGCGACAGAGGACCACCGTCTGTATTTAACACAAGCGCTTAAACATGGAAGTGGTGTCTCTAAAATCGGAACAAAAATCAACTGACTTTAGCGGCCCAGCCATCAACAACAATTCACTTATCATTATTTCAGATGATTTGAAATAATTAAAAGATGTTATAAAAAGTCGGGTGATAAAAATTCAAATATTCTACAAGTCAAAAACAATATTTTTAAGTTTATGAGCTTTTAGTCACGTGCGGGAGGGTGTGTGGGCTGCGTCAGCGGGAAAATTAGCTGCAGTGGTGGGGAGACGAAACGATTGAACGGCTTTTTTATAACAATATTTAATTATTTCAAATCATTTGGTGTTGGTGACTGAGGCGCTAAAGTCAGTTGATTTTTATAATGATTTTGGAGACACGAGGTGGTCCCCCAATGAGCTATTCTACGAATCAGCTGATTTTTCTATCGTATTCAGCAAGCCTGATTTTATTGAATATACAAATTTCAAGGAAGCTAAAATAGGTGCAGAGGTAAAATTATTATATTACATACAACAATAATTATAGTGGACGCAGCGATAAAGGACAATACGACAGATATTATCGATAATCCATCTGCTGTAATTTCCAGACATTTTTTTCTCGTCATTATAATATTTTATTATCATCTAGAGTGTCACTTGTGTACACGTCATTTATTTATAACTTTTCCTAATTTAAGTTGTTCGAATTCTTACTGATTTTTTTTCTTATTAAATCTCGTTATTATAATTATATTCACTGGCTGCATGAACTAAAATACAGTCTTCGGGGCTGTGACCATATGTCTTGATCGTCTCTTAAAAGTACATTTCAGTATTTTTATTTAAAAAAAAAATGCAATTTCAATTCAATTTTATCGCCCATGTTTTGTGATCTTTAAGTATCACAATTTTTTGAATATTTTAGGGCAGTGAAATTTAAAACCCTAGCGTTAATTATAAATTATAATAATATATATTACGTAGTCATGTGTGTAAACGATAAAATTAATTTTTATTGGCAGAAATTGACGTTTATAGTATGAAATATAATATGGATAATTGATGGATGAGAATGGAACTATATGTGGATAGACGAGGATGGAAAAAAATCATTACCGTGGCGCGGAAATTCTGAATGTACCTACCTACCGGCAGTGTCTCTGGGGCGTACAATTATTATTATGGGATACAGAATTTGAAATATGGGGTAATATAATAATATTATAGTAAAACAGTCATAAAAAGTACGTATACCTGGACGCTTGTTTCGATTGGGGTCGTAAAATAAGCAGCGTGTCAGCGGAACAATAAACCTATGTAAATATACTATTATACATTAACCGTTTTATATATGACGTTATCCATCACTTTTTTACAATCCAATCTACGGGCAGTCGAAATAATTAAAATCACAATATAGGTAGGGCGTATGTATCATCTAAATATTATAATGTCGTCATATTAATACGAAATGCTGCAGGCTTCAGTTCAATCTAGTTGATTGAAAATCGTTAAAATATGAACTTATAATCTTATTATTTATATATTTATTTATTCTGTCCGTGTGTATGTCACTGAACTCCTCCTAAACCGGCTAGACCGATTTTAATGAAA